AGTAAGCGCAAGCAGTGGTGGAGGTGAGGTAGAGGGGGAAGAGCAGGAAGAAAAAGGTGTGGGCTTGGACAGGCACATCCCTTGAGCCCCACAACTCCCTGATCTGTAGGGGAGGGGGCACAGGCAGGGAAAGTCAGAGAGCTGAACCTTCTACATAGGGGGAGAGGTGGGTGCAAAGCAGGTTCCCCTCTTGTCTGGGTCTAAGGCAGTGATGGCTGGGAAGGACCTCATCCACTTTCTAGGCTACACTGCCTATGTGTACAAGTCAGAGTCTGTTACAGATCAGGGGAGTAATAAAATGGGCAAGAGGAGACCTGGAACATTTTGAAGAGTTGGGAGAGCCCCTCTCCAACTGATGTGAAATACTTTATATCAACCACCAGATGACAGTATTGCCCTACAAAAAGCTTAAACCAAAAGGCTCAATCTGTTTTGTTTAAATATATTTTATTGATTATGCTATTACAGTTGTACCATTACCCCCCCTACATTGTTCTTTACCCTGCACACCCTCTCCCACCCTCATTCTCCCCCTTCACTTCATGTCCATGTGTCATAAGTTCTTTAGCTTCTATAGTTCCCATACTATTCTTGCCCTCCCCCTATTTTCTACCTACCATCTATGCTACTTATTCACCATACCTTTTCCCCCTCCCTCCTCCTCCAACTCCCCTGTTGCTAACCCTCCATGTGATCTCCATTTCTGTGGTTCTGTTACTGTTCTAGTTGTCTCCTTAGTTTCTTTTTTCTTTTGTTTTAGGTGTAGTTGTTAATAATTGTGTTTGCTGTCTTTTTACTATATATGGTGTGGTCTTTTCTTAGATAACTCCCTTTAACATTTCATAAAATAAAGGCTTGGTGATGATGAACTCCTTTCACTTGAACTTATCTGAAAAGCACTTTGTCTGCCCTTCCATGGCAAAAGAAACCTTTGCTGGATAGAGCAGTCTTGGATGTAGGTCTTTGAGTTTCATGACTTGGAATACTTCTTTCCATCCCCTTCTTGACTGTAAGGTCTCTTGAGAAATCAGGTGACAGTCTCATTGGAACTCCTTTGTAGGTTACTGTCTCCTTATCTCTTGCTGCTTCTAGGATACTCTCCTTCGTTTTTACCTTGGCTAATGTAATTATGATGTGCCTTGGTGGGTTCCTCCTCAGGTCCAACTTCTTTGGAACTCTCTGAGCTTTCTGGGCTTCCTGGAAGTCTATTTCCTTTACCAGAACAGGAAAGTTCTCCTTTATTAATTCTTCAAATAAGTTTTCCACTGGTTGCTCTTCCGGTTCCCTTTCTGGTACCCCTATAAATTGAATGTTGGATCGTTTCAAGATGGCCTGGAGGTTCCTAAGCCTCTCTTCATTTTTTGAATTCTTATTTCTTCATTCTTTTCTGTTTGTATGTTTTTTTCTTCCTTTTGGTCCACTCCATTAATATGAGGCCCAGCTTTCATTCCATCACTATTGGTTCCCTGTGCATTTTTCTTCATTTCACTTATTGTAGCCTTCATTTGTTCATCTAATTTGTGACCAAAATCAACCAATTCTGTGAGCATCCTTATTACCAGTGCTTTGAACTGTGTATCTGATATGTTGGCTATCTCTCAGTCACTTAAAAAAACTGGTTGCTGAGCTTTCAATTTTCTTTGAGCCATCTTTCTCCCCCTCCCACCTTTGGTCTGGTTGTGCCTACTATGTATGGGGGGCGGAGCCTTAGGTGTTCAACAGGGTGAGGCACCTCAGTTGCTGGTTTGTGATGCTATACGTGGTGGCGGAGTCAGAGAGGGAACAATGGCGCTTGCTCCACTTTTCCCAGGGCCTCAGTCCATTCTGTTGCTCCCCCTGAGCAAACTGGGCCCCTCTGGTGCCAATTTCTGTGTGGGTGGGCTTTTGCATGCTGTGGGACCTTCCAAGGACCTCTCCTGTGAGGCTTGGAGTCTCTCCCTGCACCTCAACCCCCACAGGGGTTTTCAGTATGTGCCCTGAGGCTCTATTTTTCAGCGATGTGATTCTGGGTTGTGAGCAGTGCCTTGCTTCACAATCGCTACCTCGGTGGTTCTGCCAGTTGCCACCCTTTGGCCAGGGTCTGCCAGCTGCAGCTTGCGTGCCCAGGGTCCACCCACTGTGGTCGTGCGTGCCACAGATGCCTTAGGCACCCGGTCCCAATGTTCTCTGCTCTCTGCGCAGCGACCTGCGCCAAGCTGCCCCACTCTGCCCATCCTACCAATTTGGATGAACGTGTCTATTTTAACTTCTTCGCTATCCAGCTTCCATTCAGATCAAGTTTCTGTCAGTTGTGGTTGTTATTTTGTTTCTAAGCTGTTGTTGTCTCTATCTTGGTTGTGCCAGGAGGCACAGTGTGTCTACATATGCCTTCATCTTGGTCAGAAGCCGGCTCGATCTTACTGTAAGCTAAAAACTACTACAATCACATGCATTCCCCTTTGTAGTAGTAAGTGGAATTATGCTGAAAACAAGCATTATCTTACATTTGTATTCGCCCCATAAATGAATAATACATGTGTTGCAGTTAGGAATGGCTGCTTTAGGTCTACTTCAGTTACCTGAAGAAGGCGGGAGTCAAAACGTTGTATTGTTTGTGACTTCATGCATTTTATAATTAAAATTATTAGTGGAAAAAAAAACTAAGCAGCATGTGATTTGATGTAAAATATCCTTGTGACCAGAATATATCAACTTCATCACATTCCAAAAACAACATAAAATCTTTCAGTTCATAATTTACTCTTGAGTTTTCAGCCTATGGATTTCTCCTAAAACTATAAAATGTAAAAATGGTTACACAATATGGTTTATAGGATTTACAAATTTTATAACCATTTGTATAAATCAGTTCTCTGTTCAATGCATTTGCTTGGTTGAAATGTTTGCAAAGGTGATTATCAGATAAGACCATTTTTCGAAACTACCCCATGCATAGCAGGGATCAGAATAAATGTAGGTGATGGTTCCAGTTGTTAAGAAGAAATGAGAGACCAGGAACTAAACACAATAGCCCTTGACTAGCGAGGCCCAGGAGGGGCCAGGGAACTGTTGGGAACCGCCCTGACTGGTATCAAAAGCTGAAACCCCTGCCTAGGCTAAGGCTAAGGGAACGCCCTTGGAACTGTAAGCCAGAAAGGAGACAAAAGCTTATCTCCCTGGCAGGAATGCTGCTTCTGCTGCTTTATTCATAACTGAACCCCAAAAAGCTTGGTCGGTTAGCCAAAGATGGGTAAGATTCCCCATGGGGGGAACGACCTAAGACAGGCACGATCACTTTGGGAGGCCCCCCAAAAGAAGGACTTGGGGGGCTGTAGCAAAAGGGGGTGAAGGACCCTCGCTCCTCGGCTTTGACATAGCCTGAGTTCTCAGCGTCTGGGAGAAAACCTCCTTGTCTCCCAGTTGCCTTAGTTCCCTTGCTCCACCTAAGCCTGAAACAATGACAGGGTGGTGCCGCTCTGTACTGAGAAGTGCGGATTCCCCGGGGTGATCAGGCCTAAGAAAGAACATGTAAATTACTGTGAAACCTTCTTTGTATAGAATGCTCTCAGTTGAATGAGAAGGGTCTTAGGAGGAAGTAAGTTTGTTCCTCAGTCTTACAGCTCTTTGACCCCCAATTCGATAGACTGGCAGAGTTCTTTGTTTTCTATGGTTCCTTACTTCCCCCTAATGAGTACTGTACTTTACCTGAATTATTATGCAGAATGAGCCCAATAAAAGCATGTATGGACTGTAAATCGGCGCGCTCCCCACTAGGGGCGGTGGCCATTTTGTCCCTACTTCCCCACAGGAACTAGCCTGTCTCTGTGCATGTGTCGTTTTTTCTCACGTGTTTATCGTCGAGCCACCCACAGCGTTCCGTGGTCACTGCTGGCCGGTGACCCACGCGCAACAGGGAACTAGCAGGCTGTTGCTTCAGGGGACCCCTCACAGGGTGCGCTGACTTCTAGGCCTGCCAGGCTGACCAAGTCAGGGCGTGAAAACCAACCTGGGGCTCTACCCTTCAGTCTACATGCAGAGCCCAGTGTGTACCAACCAAACATTCATTTCTTTCGAGAAGAGAAAATGCGTATTTTTCATTTTTGCTCAGTTTGGATCAAATCCGCAATGTAAATGCACAAGAACACTTTTGAAGGCAGTTCTCTGTCCCCCGGGATCTGCCTAGGGGAGGGTTTCTTTATACCCTCAGAGCAACAGAGCAGCAGTAGCCATGGTACCATGTGGCCAGCCACAAGACAATGTTGGACGGTCCAGGGTACACCAGGCAAAGGGGAGTGGCCACACCCACTGGGGTCACCCGCCTTTCAACATCTTTTCCTGTTTTAGACTTCTTCCTCCTCCTGAAGTAGGCGGAGAGATAGGGTGAATTCCTTAATGAGGCGAGATCTTCTTTGGGCCAATTGGGACTCCAGTCATTTATCCAGCTTTTTTCTTCCTTCCTCCCTTCCTTCTCCTCCTCCTTTTCCTTCTTGGCATCCCAATGCCTCGCTACTTACTCCATGCCATTGGTTTTAGGTCCAGACTTTAAAAGCAACTGCTTTATTTAACTTCTTAGCTCCTGTTATGAACTGAGGAACACCCAATGTGAAGACCACTGAACACTGTATGGATGCTCTCCCCCACTCACACACTGACGTCCTAACCCCAAGACCTGAGAATGTAACCATATGTGGAGATTGGGCTTTTAAAAAGGTGATTGAGATTAAATGAATTCATTGGGTTGGGGGCCCTCATCTACTGACTGGTGTCCTTACGAAAAGAAATTAGGACACAGACAGATACAGAAGAAAGACCGTGTGTGGACACAGTGAGAGGGCAGGTCTCTTACAAGTCAAGGAGAAGACCCTGCAAAGAAATGACCCCGTTGACACCTTGATCTTGAACTTCCAACCCTCAGAGATTGAGACAATACTTTTCTGTTGTTTAAGCTATGTAGTCTGTGGTACCTTGTTACAGCAGATGTAGCAAACTAATACATCCCGTTAGATTTTCTTTCCTTTTTTTAAACTATGGGACACTTCAGAAATTTGTGCCTCCTCTGAACAGGGCTCATGTTAATCTTATCTGTGTAGTTGTAATTTTAGTATATGTGCTGCCAAAGGAACACTGCCCTTGAAGTCTTTAACCTCCAAAGTTCCCGAGGTTCTTTGTAAAAGTGGGCATTCCTGGATTTCAGGGGCGCTCACTGCAGCCGTTGCCGGAGTCCACTGCTGCAGCAGTGAATGCCCGCCTCTGCCGAGTTTGAGAGGCCGCGACTCCCAGCATCACTGAACAGCTCTGCGGTGCTCCCAGCCACTACGGTGCACAGATTCCTGTTATTCTTTCGTGTCACTGCGTACACACGCGTGATCAGAAAATGGAGCAAACTTAAAAACAGTACTGTGTTGGGTGGGGAGGAAAGAAGAATGTGACCAAAGAGATTCCCTCACTGTCCTGCTGGCAAAACGTCCCTTCCCTCCATAGAATGGCACGGATCTACAGTGCTCATTGAAAAGTCCGTGTTTGGGTGAAAATATTGAAATACTGTAGATGGCAGCCTCACATCACACAGGATTATTTTAGAGCAAAACCACTGTGTCACTGTTCCATTTTAATTTTTCCCCCTCTTTTTTCTTTTTTTTTTCTTTTCCCTAGTGGGGAAATTACTGGAACCTTTTAAAAAGTGATTATTTATGGTGAAAACTTGGAAAAGCAATTATGCCTGTTTTTTGAGTTCGCTCCCATGGCCTGTACTACAAAGCACCCATCAGCAACACCCCTTGAAAAGCTGTAGGCAACTACTTTGTTATTTTAGCTACCCACTTGGAGAACACCAGCTTTAGATTGAAAAGTATTTTGAAATTCAACCTCAGAGATGCTCCCAACCACCTTTCAAGTTCCTAAAGATAAGTTTACCAAATGTTAACAACAACAAGAAAAATTCCCAGAACTCAGGGCAACAGAGTAACGAGGCTGAGAGCCACGTTTGATACCGAGGAAGACACCTCCTCGTTCTTTATGACAGACATTCAGACACAGTTCAACTTCCGTCTGTTAATATTCTTATCAGAAAAAACAATCGTTTCAGGGAACGCTGATAATGACTGTTCTCAGCAAAATCTACAACTCCAGACCAGGGGTCAGAAAATGTTTTCTGTACAGGTGCACAGGGTCAATATTTTCAGCTTTTTTTTGGTGGAGGAGGACACATGGTCTCTATGGCAACTTCTTCACTCTGCCCCTTCTTTCTGGTAAGCAGCTGCAGGCAGTAGGGACACCAATAGGCATGGCTGTTTCCCAATAAAACTTTATTTACAAAGGTGGACCCGCAGGCAGAGCTGGCGGTGGGCCATAGCTAGCCACATCTGTTCTGAGCGGGGCCTTACAATCCTTCTGAGAAAGACCTCACTGCCTTAGGTGTGAACTCCTCTGTGGACGTTTTAGCCACCCTTGCTCTTTTTCCTTCTTCCCAAATGCTGCTACTTTCCACATATGTTTCAGGCAGGAGCTCATGTTACCTTTTGTGAAGGTGAAATGTGAGGATGGGTGGATTAGGGAACTGACTCTTGAACTTGATATTGGAGATGAGTCTAAGCATGATGTCAGGCTGGGCATGAGACCTTTTTTCACTTATGTCTCCCCATCACTTCCTGGCTGGGGCTTAAACTTAGGAATAAAGGGTTGGACTTGAGATTGTGCTTGGAACTGGCTAAGTAAGTATGAAGGTCATGGAGCAGATGCTTCTCAGGTACCTCGTGGGTACCCGTGTGCCTGTGAAGGAACAACCACGTGGGGAGTAAATGAGGTTGGTGATTATATTAGAGGGCTTATGGAGACGCATTTACGAGCAGCACCCTCCCTGAAGGTAACAGAATGCACTGAGCAGTTTTCAAAAAGGAGATGCACTTACGGATAGGCGGGTCCCACAGGGGCCAGGACCAAATGTGGCTCACTTGCCGGTGTCAGTCCTCTGGTTGGAGACGGTCCACATGTAGGTCATGTCCATATGTCCATGAGCTCGTGGAAATCAGCAAATGTGAGCTCCTCCAGGCAGGCCTGAGCCCTGGGTGGTCCCAGGCTGTTTTGCTTAAGATTCCTTAAGGAGATTGAACTTCTGGTTATTTCCCAACTATCTAGACTGGGGCAGACCCCAGAAAAATAAGGCAAATCACATCTAAGAGTTCACGCTGGTACGCGTCTTCAGAGGCACAGAGAGATGCTTTTAATAGCCACTGGTCTCACTGTAATTTTCAGCTTATAAGAATGTTACAGGGCCCTGCTGTAACAGTGCTGGTGTGGCTCAGTGCATTGAATGCTGGCCTGCAAAACGAAGGGTTGCAGGTTCCATTCCCAGTCAGGGCACACGCCTGGGTTGTGGGCCAGGTCCCCATTGGGGGACGTGCAAAAGATAAGCACACATTGATGTTTCTCTCTCTCTCCTTCCTTTCCCCTCTCTCTAAATATAAATAAATGGAATGTTAATTAAATTAAGAACATTGTCACAGTGAAGCCTTAGAGCATGAAACTGAGGCTGGTAAAACCCCCAGCACAAAACCCCCTTAAGCTGCATTTTGTAAGAAGAAACTTGGTGTGGATTAGTTTATGAACAAACTCTATCACCCGTGCGTGGAGTGTGATCCCCACCAACTGAAAACTAGGCAAAAATCTGGGATTGGCCTTCAAATCCTGACATGGGGTCCTGTGAATTCCTGCTTTCTGCCAGCTCTCCGACGGAAGTAGAGGCATCCCAGAGGCTTACCTGTCCAACCAAGGACTTCGTCTATCTTCATCTTTCTTCCCAGTCTGGAAATCTGAGTGCCTGGTTGCGGCTGCAGAAATAGACAAAACTATGCCGAGAAGCCTGCTTCGTGGGCCGGCCTTGGGAAGTGCGATTGCACTGATACAGATGGGCTCTCTGCAAAGGGAATTGCCACTGTAATATGTACTGCAAGGACCAGGAGAGAGAATTCACATGAGAAAGGTACACTGGGTGCTTGGGAAGCAGGCTTTCTGCAGATGGGCTATGTAAGAGCAAATCAAGGGAATGCTCCTGCAAAGACGAGAATTTGTTCAATGCGTTGGGATGAAGAGCACTGCGAACTTGTTTCACTTACTGGCTGGAACTTGATAGAAAGAGAAAAAAATGCTCCAGATGATACAAAGTGGACTTTTTTCATGGGCTCCATATAGGTTTCCTGGGAAACATTTTCCACTTCCAGCCTTCTTTGGCAAACCTTGAATATGTGTTTTCACCCTGCACAGTCATACCCTTCCTGGTCTTTCAGGCCGTGCTGCTCAGTAAGCCGTCCACTAGCCTCTCGTTGCTATTAAACACTTAGAATATGGCTACTGCGACTGATGAACTGAATTGTGAATTTGATTGCATTTCAGTAAATTTAAATTTAAATAACCACATGGGGCTCATGGCCACCTTATTGGGGCAGCACAGATACAGGAACATTTTCCTTATCACAGGACATTTTCACTGTCACAGACCACTCTAAGTGGGCAGCGCCCTGTTCCAGAGTGTGACAAAGCAAATTTTTGCTTACGGAGTTGTTTTTAATGTTGAAGACTTTGTTTTCTTCCAACTGAGAAGTTTTAAAAAAGAATACTTTGGAGAAGACAACTCAACGCCCATTTTCAACAGCCCTAATGAACACTTGCTCACAACTCCCCCCTGCCCTATTTCTGAATAATTCGGTTTACTTCTGTGTGTGACATTTTATATATAGTTCCTTCTAATGTAGTTAAATATAAAATGCTAATTCCAGGAAACACTTTCTTAACTAGTTGTGGTTGAAATGTCCTCACTAATCCTTAGTGGAATAACTGACTGGCCAATTCCATATTGTCTTTAGGAAAAAGAAACAAAAACGGAAGACCTGTGTTATTTATTTATTTATATGTTTACTTCTTTATTTGATTAAATTTGTGCCAAAGAGGAAAAGGTGTGGTGTAGCAAAAGAAAATTAAGAGGGAAGAAACTTTTCAGGTCTTCCAAATGCAGTCAAAAACATGCATGTCAGTTTACCTTGGTCCTCTCGATAATTTGCACAAGGACGTCTGTGAACAGCTAAATTAGATTTTTCTTGGTTTCACTCTGAGTGGATGTTAATGTCAGGAAAGACACTTTTAACTCTGATTTTTAATATATTTTATTGATTATGCTATTAGAATTGTCTCATTTTTTTCTCCCCTTTATTCCCCTCCACCCTGTACCAGCCCTCCCACCATCATTCCTCCACCTTAGTTCATGTCCATGGGTCATCCATATCAGTTCTTTGGCTTCTCCTTTTCTCATACTATTCTTAACTTCCCTCCCTCTGTCAATTTTGTACCTACCATTTATGCTTCTTATTACTTGTAACTTTTCCCCCATTCTTCCCCAACCTCCTCCCTGATTATAACACTCCATGTGATCTCCATTTCTGTGATTCTGTCCCTGTTCTACTTGTTTGCTTAGTTCATTTTTTTTAGGTTCGGTTGGTGATCGTTGTGAGTTTGTTGTCATTTTACTGTTTGTATTTTTGATCTTCTTCTTTTTCTTAGATATTATATTTCATATAATAAGGGCTTGGTGATGATGAACTCCTTGAACTTGACCTTGTCTGGGACAAGCACTTTGTCTGGGAGGCACTTTATCTGTCCTTCCATTCTAAATGATAGCTTTGCTGGATAGAGCAATCTTGGATGTAGGTCCTTGAGTTTGATGACTCAGAGTACTTCTTTCCAGCCCCTTTTTGCCTGTAAGCGTTCCTTTGAGACATCAGTTGATAGTCTTATGGGCACTCCTTCATAGGTAACTGTCTCCTTTTCTCTTGTGGCTTTTAAGATTCCCTCCTTCTCTTTAATCATGGCTAATGTAATTATGATGTGCCTTGGTGTGTGCTTCCTTGGGTCCCACTTCTTTGGGACTCTCTGAGCTTCCTGGGTTTCCTGGAAGTCTATTTCCTTTGCCAGATTAGGGAAGTTCTCCTTCATTATTTTTTCAAATAAGTTTTCAATTTCTTGCTCTTTCTCCTCTTCTTCTGGCACCCCTATGATTGGGATGTTGGAATGTTTAAAGTTGTCCTGGAGGTTCCTCAGCCTCTCCTCATTTTTTTGAATTCTTGTTTCTTCATTCTG